TGGACTTGCCAGAGCAAACCCCTTTTAAGCAGAAATCAGGCCGAAAGTGCTTAAAAGGGCTTTGCCGGTGGACTTGCCAGAGCAAACCCCTTTTAAGCAGAAATCAGACCGAAAGTGCTTAAAAGGGCTTTGGCGGTGGACTTGCCAGAGCAAACCCCTTTTAAGCAGAAATCAGGCCGAAAGTGCTTAAAAGGGCTTTGGCGGTGGACTTGCCAGAGCAAACCCCTTTTAATCAGAAATCAGGCCGAAAGTGCTTAAAAGGGCTTTGGCGGTGGACTTGCCAGAGCAAACCCCTTTTAAGCAGAAATCAGGCCGAAAGTGCTTAAAAGGGGTTTGGCGGTGGACCTGGCAGAGCAAACCCCTTTTAAGCAGAAATCAGGCCGAAAGTGCTTAAAAGGGCTTTGGCGGTGGACTTGCCAGAGCAAACCCCTTTTAAGCAGAAATCAGCCCGAAAGTGCTTAAAAGGGCTTTGGCGGTGGACTTGCCAGAGCAAACCCCTTTTAAGCAGAAAGCAGGCCGAAAGTGCTTAAAAGGGCTTTGGCGGTGGACTTGGCAGAGCAAACCCCTTTTAAGCAGAAAGCAGGCCGAAAGTGCTTAAAAGGGTTTTAGCGGTGGACTTGCCAGAGCAAACCCCTTTTAAGCAGAAATCAGTCCGAAAGTGCTTAAAAGGGGTTTGGCGGTGGACTTGCCAGAGCAAACCCCTTTTAAGCAGAAATCAGGCCGAAAGTGCTTAAAAGGGCTTTGGCGGTGGACTTGCCAGAGCAAAGCCCTTTTAAGCAGAAATCAGGCCGAAAGTGATTAAAAGGGGTTTGCCGGTGGACTTGCCAAAGCAAAGCCCTTTTTAGCAGAAATCAGGCCGAAAGTGCTTAAAAGGGCTTTGGCGGTGGACTTGCCAGAGCAAACCCCTTTTAAGCAGAAATCAGGCCGAAAGTGCTTAAAAGGGCTTTGGCGGTGGACTTGCCAGAGCAAAGCCCTTTTAAGCAGAAATCAGGCCGAAAGTGCTTAAAAGGGCTTTGGCGGTGGACTTGCCAGAGCAAAGCCCTTTTAAGCAGAAATCAGGCCGAAAGTGCTTAAAAGGGCTTTGGCGGTGGACTTGCCAGAGCAAACCCCTTTTAAGCAGAAATCAGGCCGAAAGTGCTTCAAAGGGCTTTGGCGGTGGACTTGCCAGAGCAAACCCCTTTTAAGCAGAAATCAGGCCGAAAGTGCTTAGAAGGGCTTTGGCGGTGCACTTGCCAGAGCAAAGCCCTTTTAAGCAGGAATCAGGCCGAAAGTGCTTAAAAGGGCTTTGGCGGTGGACTTGCCAGAGCAAAGCCCTTTTTAGCAGAAATCAGGCCGAAAGTGCTTAAAATGGCTTTGGCGGTGGACTTGCCAGAGCAAAGCCCTTTTTAGCAGAAATCAGGCCGAAAGTGCTTAAAAGGGCTTTGGCGGTGGACTTGCCAGAGCAAAGCCCTTTTTAGCAGAAATCGGGCCGAAAGTGCTTAAAAGGGCTTTGGCGGTGGACTTGCCAGAGCAAAGGCCTTTTAAGCAGAAATCAGGCCGAAAGTGCTAAAAAGGGCTTTGGGGGGCGTGGACTTGGCCAGAGGCAAAGCCCTTTTTAGCAGAAATCAGGGCCGAAATGCGTAAAAGGGCTTTGGCGGTGGACTTGCCAGAGCAAACCCCGTTTAAAGCAGAAGCAGGCCCGAAGTGCTTAAAAGAGGGCTTTGCCGTGTGGACATTCCAGAGCCAAGCCTTTTTAGCGAAATCAGGCCGAAAGTGCTTAAAAGGGCTTTGGCGGTGGACTTGCCAGAGCAAAGCCCTTTTTAGCAGAAATCAGCCCGAAAGTGCTTAAAAGGGCTTTGGCGGTGGACTTGCCAGAGCAAAGCCCTTTTTAGCAGAAATCAGGCCGAAAGTGCTTAAAAGGGCTTTGGCGGTGGACTTGCCAGAGCAAAGCCCTTTTTAGCAGAAACTTTTTAGCAGAAATCAGGCCGAAAGTGCTTCAAAGGGCTTTGGCGGTGGACTTGCCAGAGCAAAGCCCTTTTTAGCAGAAATCAGCCCGAAAGTGCTTCAAAGGGCTTTGGCGGTGGACTTGCCAGAGCAAAGCCCTTTTAAGCAGAAATCAGGCCGAAAGTGCTTAAAAGGGCTTTGTCGGTGGACTTGCCAGAGCAAAGCCCTTTTTAGCAGAAATCAGGCCGAAAGTGCTTAAAAGGGCTTTGGCGGTGGACTTGCCAGAGCAAAGCCTTGTTTAGCAGAAATCAGCCCGAAAGTGCTTAAAAGGGCTTTGGCGGTGGACTTGCCAGAGCAAAGTCCTTTTTAGCAGAAATCAGACCGAAAGTGCTTAAAAGGGCTTTGGCGGTGGACTTGCCAGAGCAAAGCCCTTTTAAGCAGAAATCAGCCCGAAAGTGCTTAAAAGGGCTTTGGCGGTGTACTTGCCAGAGCAAAGCCCTTTTTAGCAGAAATCAGGCCGAAAGTGTTTAAAAGGGTTTTGGCGGTGGACTTGCCAGAGCAAAGCCCTTTTTAGCAGAAATCAGCCCGAAAGTGCTTAAAAGGGCTTTGGCGGTGGACTTGCCAGAGCAAAGCCCTTTTAAGCAGAAATCAGGCCGAAAGTGCTTAAAAGCGCTTTGGCGGTGGACTTGCCAGAGCAAAGCCCTTTTTAGCAGAAATCAGGCCGAAAGTGCTTAAAAGGGCTTTGGCGGTGGACTTGCCAGAGCAAACCCCCTTTTAGCAGAAATCAGGCCACCGCCAAAGCCCTTTTAAGCACTTTCGGCCTGATTTCTGCTAAAAAGGCTTTGCTCTGGCAAGTCCACCTGCCAAAGCGCTTTTAGCACTTTCGGCCTGATTTCTGCTAAAAGGGCTTTGCTCTGGCCAGTCCACCGTCCAAAGCCTTTAAGCACTTTCGGGGCCTGATTGTCTGCTAAAAAGGGCTTTGCTCTGGCAAGTCCACCGCCAAAGCCCTTTTAAGCACTTTCGGCCTGATTTCTGCTAAAAAGGGCTTTGCTCTGGCAAGTCCACCGCCAAAGCCTTTTTAAGCACTTTCGGCCTGATTTCTGCTAAAAAGGGCTTTGCTCTGGCAAGTCCACCGCCAAAGCCCTTTTAAGCAGTTTCGGCCCGATTTCTGCTAAAAAGGGCTTTGCTCTGGCAAGTCCACCGCCAAAGCCCTTTTAAGCACTTTCGGCCTGATTTCTGCTTAAAAGGGCTTTGCTCTGGCAAGTCCACCGCCAAAGCCCTTTTAAGCACTTTCGGCCCGATTTCTGCTTAAAAGGGCTTTGCTCTGGCAAGTCCACCGCCAAAGCCCTTTTAAGCACTTTCGGCCTGATTTCTGCTAAAAAGGGCTTTGCTCTGGCAAGTCCACCGCCAAAGCCCTTTGAAGCACTTTCGGCCTGATTTCTGCTTAAAAGGGCTTTGCTCTGGCAAGTCCACCGCCAAAGCCCTTTGAAGCACTTTCGGCCTGATTTCTGCTTAAAAGGGCTTTGCTCTGGCAAGTCCATCGCCAAAGCCCTTTTAAGCACTTTCGCGCTGATTTCTGCTTAAAAGGGGTTTGCTCTGGCAAGTCCACCGCCAAAGCCCTTTTAAGCACTTTCGGGCTGATTTCTGCTAAAAAGGGCTTTGCTCTGGCAAGTCCACCGCCAAAGCCCTTTGAAGCACTTTCGGCCTGATTTCTGCTTAAAAGGGCTTTGCTCTGGCAAGTCCACCGCCAAAGCCCTTTTAAGCACTTTCGGCCCGATTTCTGCTAAAAAGTGCTTTGCTCTGGCAAGTCCACCGCCAAAGCCCTTTTAAGCACTTTCGGGCGGATGTCTGCTAAAAAGGGCTTTGCTCTGGCAAGTCCACCGCCAAAGCCCTTTTAAGCAGTGCTTAAAAGGGCTTTGCTCTGGCAAGTCCACCGCCAAAGCCCTTTTAAGCACTTTCGGCCTGATTTCTGCTTAAAAGGGCTTTGCTCTGGCAAGTCCACCGCCAAAGCCCTTTTAAGCACTTTCGGCCTGATTTCTGCTAAAAAGGGCTTTGCTCTGGCAAGTCCACCGCCAAAGCCCGTTTAAGCACTTTCGGCCTGATGTCTGCTTAAAAGGGCTTTGCTCTGGCAAGTCCACCGCCAAAGCCCTTTTAAGCACTTTCGGCTTGATTTCTGCTTCCCGGGGGTTTGGATTTGCTGAGGCCGAAAGGTAAATGCTGTTTGAAAGAAAGAAGGCCCCAAAACCTTTAATTTTAAATACTTAATGTGGAACCTGTGCCCCGGTCCGCGGGCTAATCCGTAAACCGCTAATCCGTAAACCGGGTAATCATTAAGGATTAACTTGGATCAGGCTAGACTACTACTACCACCACTACTACTACCACTACCACCACCACCACCACCACCACCACCACCACCACCACCACAGCTACAACTACAATTACAATTGCAGATACACTATAATTAAACCGCAGTACATTACAGCTACAAATACAACTACACTACATTACACAACACTACACTACACTAATTACATTACATTACGCTACAACTGCAACTACCACTACATTGCACTACACGACGCTACACTACAACTACAACTACACTACTTTAGACTACAATACACTAGACTACACTACACTATACCACGCTACAGTACACAACACTACAGTGCACCACAATACACTACACTAATTACACCACACCACAACTACGACTGCAACTGCAACTACACTACACTAATTACACTACTTTACAACTACAACTTAAAACTACAACTTCACTACGCTACAACTACAACTACAACTGCGCTACACCACACTACATCCAGCTGTTGTGGTGAGGTGACCACTGCAACCATTGCAGCCACTCCAGTAAACACAACTCCAACCACCTTTCGGTCCATCAGCGGATTCGCTCTGCCATCCGTGATTCACAACAACCAACCTCTCCTATAGGTTTACTATTTTTGAAACTTCCGCCACCGCCTTGTGCGGTACTACTGGTATATTGAATCATATTAAACCAGATTAATTCATATTATATAAATCAGATTGAAACATCATAAATCTTACTATTAAATCCCCAAAAAAAATTGGTAAGATCCAGGCGCACCAGTCCCCACCGTCCACCTGAAGGACTCCATCCAGTGTTCCGCGTGATCCCGCAGCATACGGTGCAGGACCACCTTCAAGGACCGAAAGGTCAGGCCTTTGGCCAAGCCACTTTCCTCCTACGCCGCGCGAGGCATATTAGGAAACTATATGGAAAACAGAAGAAAATAATACATGGTATTAACATGATTTAACATGTATATATATATATATGGTATAAATAATGAAAATAGATAAAGAAAGATAGTGTATGTTCTCGATTGTTCTCTTATATATATATATATATTCAACTTAAGTAAGACTGTTCAGCTTTTGAAACCTTTATAGTTTATGTTTAGCCTTTGAGGGTCAAGGTGTAGGAACCTTAATTGGGGGACGACCACCTGCAACTGGGCATGGCCCCACGAAAGGCTGGCGAGTTTTCAGAATGGATTGGGATCACTCAGCTGAAAAAGAAAATGCGAACGAATCACAATGTGGACAATTCTTGGGAGTTATTGCTTTATAGGCAAAGGAATAGTCTTAGTCAAGTGAACATTGAGGTCAATGCTTGGGTTTGAATGTGCACAAAAATCACAATGCGGGATACAGTGGTGAAGAATATAAGAATGCTGAAGAGGAAAGCCCTTACTCTACATATATAGATATGATTATGATTATATAATATATAGACAATAGAGAACCCCTCGGCATCCCTTGGCTTATCATAGTCTGACTACAGTCGACATACTTCCCCTATTAAAATTAAAATTGTGCTGGGGGCCTCCCCCATCTGCACACCCAAAGTCTCACCGTGTTGGTTATACCATTCAGTTCTAACTGATCCTTCCAAAGTGAGGATTTGTTTCTTCACTTTTGGCATTTCTGCACTACACTCTTCGCACTTTTTGAGGCAAAACTCAACTATTCTGGGAAAAAATGAACTATCCATATGCCTCTTCCATCCCCAAGTGCATTCTGGCAGTCTTTTCCCCAAGTGCAGTGTTCACAGCATTGTGTTACACAATGTCCGAGATCATATTGAACTGGACTTCGTACATCCCCAAACTGCAATAAAATAAGCAGAGTTCAAACCAGCATGCTTGCAGAATTAAAGTGGTGTTACCTGATCGCTTAATTTCACAAACGCCTCTGCGAACATTGCGCATTTTTTCGTTTCTTGCACCCCCTGATCCAGACATGGTAAGTTTGGTTGAAGGTCAGCCATCAACCGGTAGAAGTTTGTTGAACCCTGATTTCCAAAAGTGAAGAAATCCTGATTTGCGTCCTTTTGCGGGAATGTGCGTACTTTTTGCGGGGATTTGCGCATTTTTTGCGGGTAGTTCCCCCTTTTAAAAAAATGAATTCCGTGAGAACATGATGGAACATGCTTGATGAATCTTGATGACGTGACTTTCTTCCTTCACACATCGGGGATCATCTGGGTTTCTAGAATAGAGTAATCCCTTCCTCCTAATACTAAACCCCCCCCCTAATACAAAACACGGCAAGTAGTTTTTAGTATTAGGGGGGTATTTATTATTAGGGAACCAAAATATTGCCAAAAATGGCAGTTCGAAGCTTACCCCTAATACTAAATTAAAACCCTTAATAATAAAAACCATTTTTTCCGATCTCAAAATCAATTAAATTTCCTTATATAACGCAATTAAAATATTGCCACAAATGCAGTTCGAAGCTTACCCCTAATACTAAATTAAAACCCTTAATACTAAAAACTATTTTTTCCGATCTCAAAATCAATTAAATTTCCTTATATAACGCAATTAAAATATTGCCAAAAATGGCAGTTGGAAGCTTACCCCTAATACTAAATTAAAACCCTTAATATTAAAAATTATTTTTTCCGATCTCAATATCAATTAAATTTCCTTATATAACGCAATTAAAATATTGCCAAAAATAACAGTTCGAAGCTTACCCCTAATACTAAATTAAAACCCTTAATACTAAAAACTATTTTTTCCGATCTCAATATCAATTAAATTTCTTTATATAACGCAATTAAAATATTGCCAAAAATGGCAGTTCGAAGCTTACCCCTAATACTAAATTAAAACCCTTAATACTAAAAACTAGCCCCCCTAATACTAAACCCCCCGGGATGAATTAGTTTTTAGTATTAGGGGGGAGAACCCACAAATGGTAGGTTGATTTTTGAATTGTTTTTTAAAGGGGATCAATTAAAAGTCAAATTGGCCAAACTGAAATTTTCGGAAATTGGACATGGATGCCTGTTTTTAGTATTAGGGGGACGTTTAGTATTAGGAGGAAGGGATTATGCCCCCACACCCCCTGGATTTTGAATCCCTATGGTGGGCAAGAAGGCAGAATCTATATACTCTAGGCAAATCTGCATCTACCCAAAAGTCGCCCAAAAAACCTCAACAGAGGTCAAGGAATTAGTTTGTTGATGTTCAACATGAAATCGTTTTTTGGGGGAGGTAAAATGCATACCTGGTTCAAATTGATCTTAACCAGGATGAGCCAAGAATTGATAAGAATTGAACTATTTGAACTTTTTGGCCTTTTTGCACCTGTTGAGCCAAACTTGAACTTTTGCAGGTAAAGTTGGCCCAAAACCAACAAGTTCAATAGTTCTTGAACTATGGAAGGTCCAGGTATTAAGTTATATCCGATTAAGTCCCCATGTATCCCAGGATAATTCCTTACTCGATATGCTTCAAAATGATGGTTATTCGATTTGATGGACATCGTCATCACCGGACCCTCCGTGGAAAAGTCCTTCTGGATGTTCAGGGTATCATCATACAGCCTGGCATCCGTGACAACTGTGACCGGCCTTCGTTATTTCTGCTCTAAATCTCGGAGTTGATCATCTGTGCCAAACCCAAGATAAAGGTTGGTTAGACGGGAATCCCAGTTCATGGATGATGATAAATCTGTTGGTATAAAACCCGGTGTCATCGTCAAACAGCCGTTATTTATCATATATATATATAATTATATATATATGGCCATTTTTTTGATGGTCAACCCCCTTATTTTATAGTCAAAAAAAATTGTTGGGCCACTAACCTGTTTTGTCTACCCCGTCACCGTATGTTGGACCATCATTGATAGGGCGATTGCTCAACCGCCTGTTGTAATCGCCAGTGAATCCTCCATAGTATCCTCTATTCCTGCAGCCCCACTTTATTCATCCCGTAGCCCAAACAAACCTCTGGTAAGATTGATTGGATCTACTCATGACTTCGAAGCCTCGGGGGGTGAATTTCATATTTGGGAGCTACAAGTATTGACTTGTTCAAGCCTCCATACACTGAACATATTTAATATAAAGCCATGAAAACTACTGTAGGTCCATTATCAACCCCAAAGGTATAGGATTTAAATGTTCCGTTTCATTTTGGATAGTGAGGTAAACCCAATGCCGTAAACCATCCCGGTCATATTTGGCGTATACAAAAATTGCATAAATCTCAAACTTGGGGATTATTTAAGTTTATAATAATAGAGTTTACCATAAAGTTGACCGTAGATTATTCCCCAAAGATTTCTCAGATATTCCACTCCCAGTCCCATGGATCCAGTAAACGTCCACATATCTTCCATAGTTGTATCCTGTCCGGCCTGTCCAGGATCACCATGCGCAACTTCTGGTGCCACCTCAGGTGGCAGGGTGAGGTATCGGAAGAAGGTGATGTCCCGGGTTATAAGTGGGGATAAATATGCTTAATCCATATGGGATTATAACATATTATAACCTACATTAACCTACTTACTAAGCAGGATGAACCGCCAGCCACAGCAACCCCCATAGATAGAAAATATCCTGGAAACCTGGAAATGATGGTGGAAACATCATCTTTTCCAGTGCAGGGGCAAAGGGGGCCGAAGCGTGGGTTTCCGACGTTGCGCTGTGACGCTCCCGGGGGCGGGTGGCGCTGCGACGCTGCGACGCTGCGACGCTCCGGGGGGCGGGTGGCGCTGCAACGCTGCGACGCTGCGACGCTGCCGTTGGGCCAGTGACGCTGCGACGCTGTTGGCGCTGCGACGCTGCGACGCTGCGACGCGGGAGCGACGCTGCGACGCTGTTGGCGCTGCGACGCTGCGACGCTGCGACGCGGGAGCGACGCTGCGACGCTGTTGGCGCTGCGACGCTGCGACGCTGCGACGCTGCGACGCGGGAGCGACGCTGCGACGCTGTTGGCGCTGCGACGCTTCCTTCTGCAAGAGTGCACACGGCGTTGCGTCGCGGCGCGACACGGAAACCCCCATTGAAGATCGTCAATGAATGTAGAAGTTTATATATAACAGGGGGAAAGAATTAAACCCTTATTGAAGATCGTCCATGAATGCAGAAGTTTAACGGGGCTGGGAGAACTAAACCCTCATTGAAGATCGTCAGTGAATGTAGAAGTTTAACGGGGCTGGGAGAATTAAACCCTCATTGAAGATCTTCGATGAATGTAGAAGTTTAACGGGGCGGGGAGAATTAAACCCTCATTGAAGATCGTCAATGAATGTAGAAGTTTAACGGGGCTGGGAGAATTAAACCCTCATTGAAGATCTTCAATGAATGTAGAAGTTTAACGGGGCTGGGAAGAATTAAACCCTCATTTAAGATCGGCCATGAATGTAGAAGTTTAACGGGGCTGGGAGAATTAAACCCTCATTGAAGATCGTCCATGAATGTAGAAGTTTAACGGGGCTGGGGAGAATTAAACCCTCATTTAAGATCGTCCATGAATGTAGAAGTTAAACGGGGCTGGGGAGAATTAAACCCTCATTTAAGATCGTCCATGAATGTAGAAGTTAAACGGGGCTGGGGAGAATTAAACCCTTATTTAAGATCGTCAAAGAAAGTAGAAGTTTAACGGGGCTGGGGAGAATTAAAACCTCATTGAAGATCGTCCATGAATGTAGAAGTTTAACGGGGCTGGGAGAACTAAACCCTCATTGAAGATCTTCGATGAATGTAGAAGTTTAACGGGGCTGGGAGAATTAAACCCTCATTTAAGATCGTCCATGAATGTAGAAGTTTAACGGGGCTGGGGAGAATTAAACCCTTTTTGAAGATCGTCCATGAATGTAGAAGTTTAACGGGGCTGGGGAGAATTAAACCCTTATTTAAGATCGTCAAAGAAAGTAGAAGTTTAACGGGGCTGGGGAGAATTAAACCCTCGTTCAAGATCGTCAGTGAATGTAGAAGTTTAACGGGGCTCGGGAGAATTAAACCCTCATTGAAGATCGTCAGTGAATGTAGAAGTTTAACGGGGGTGGGGAGAATTAAACCCTCATTGAAGATCGTCAATGAATGTAGAAGTCTAACGGGGCTGGGAAGAATTAAAACCTCATTGAAGATCGTCCATGAATGTAGAAGTTTAACGGGGGTGGGGAGAATTAAACTCTCATTGAAGATCGTCAATGAATGTAGAAGTTTAACGGGGCTCGGGAGAATTAAACCCTCATTTAAGATCGTCCATGAATGTAGAAGTTTAACGGGGCTGGGAGAATTAAACCCTCATTGAAGATCTTCAATGAATGTAGAAGTTTAACGGGGCTGGGAGAGTTAAACCCTCATTGAAGATCTTCGATGAATGTAGAAGTTTGAAGGGGCTGGGAGAATTAAACCCTCATTGAAGACCTTCAATGAATGTAGAAGTTTAACGGGGCTGGGAGAATTAAACCCTCATTGAAGATCGTCAATGAATGTAGAAGTTTAACGAGGCTGGGAGAATTAAACCCTCATTGAAGATCGTCAATGAATGTAGAAGTTTAACGGGGCTGGGAGAATTAAACCCTCATTGAAGATCTTCGATGAATGTAGAAGTTTAACGGGGCTGGGAGAGTTAAACCCTCATTGAAGATCTTCGATGAATGTAGAAGTTTAACGGGGCTGGGAGAATTAAACCCTCATTGAAGATCGTCCATGAATGTAGAAGTTTAACGGGGCTGGGAGAATTAAACCCTCATTGAAGATCTTCAATGAATGTAGAAGTTTAACGGGGCGAGGTAGTGTTCAGAGGGGGTCGCTGGCTTGATCTTCGAAAATGCAACATATATTCAAAGGGGTGGCGGGGCTGATGTCTCAAGGTGCAACGTATTGTTCAGAGGGGGTTGGGGAGTTGATGTCTTGTGATGGTGAAGATGCAACATAGTGTTCAGAGGGGGTTCCAGGGCTACTGTCTCAGCTTGTCCGGTGGCTTCTCGGCTTCTCGGCTTGTCCGGTGGCTTCTCGGCTTCTCGGCTTCTCGGCTTGCCCGGCGGCTTCTCGGCTTCGCGGCTTCTCGGCTTCTCGGCTTCTCGGCTTCTCGGCTTGCCCGGCGGCTCCTCGGCTTCGCGGCTTCGCGGCTTCTCGGCTTCTCGGCTTGTCCGGTGGCTTCTCGGCTTCTCGGCTTCTTGGCTTCTCGGCTTGTGCCGGGCTTCTCGGCTTCTCGGCTTCTCGGCTTCTCGGCTTCTCGGCTTCTCGGCTTGTGTCGTACTTCGCGGCTTCTCGGCTTCTCGGCTTCTCGGCTTGTGTCGGGCTTCTCGGCTTCTCGGCTTCTCGGCTTCTGGTCGCATTTCTGGGCCCCTTTTGCCCGTGCTTTGATCTTTTCCACATCCGGGAAACACTGTTCGGCATCCGTTGGGAAATGCGACCCAAAGACCTAGGAGCTGTGACCTTAAAACCAAGGGGTAATAAGGTCACTTGAAATGGTCTATTGATTAATATTGATTATAGATAGTTACCATTCAAACAGAATGTGCACTTCCTCAGCAAGAAGCAGCCTGTAATCTTTTTCAACAGCATCCATCATCAACAAACATGCAAAACAAATTTTAAACTTGTGCATCGTAGATGCGCAGACAGAAAACGTCCGGCTCCATCTCAAACAGTAGATTTGGAGGTGAGTTCCGCATCTTTGCTGGGAAAAGATGGGAAAAGATGATTGCAATCACCACCAAGTGACCTATCCACTAGGGGCCCGGTACATACAATTATTATATATTGATATGTATATATATACACGTATATAATCGTAAATATATATATATATATTGATTAAATCAAAAGTCTATTTCCATGTCTGCACCTTCAATGCAGGGCCACAATTCCCGTAAACTTGTCCCCGTGGTGGATTCATATGGCTAATTACTTATATTTCATGATTCCAATCTGATCTCATTAATCCAATTAAATCCCATGAAATCACCATGAAATGGTTGTTTAGACATGTTAGAATTGCCATGGAACCCCCTCTGCAGCAAAGTCAGGCGACTTGAAGTCCGCCAGCATGAGATCTTCGAAGAAATGACGGGTGGCAGATCTGTCCAGGATCTTTCTGCCCTCGGACAAGGACGTGAGCAACGTGGTGTTTTTCGGGGTTACTGTACTGGAAAGGGGGGCAATGAAAGGTACATCTTGAAAGAGGTATCATATGAATCATATGATGATATCTCAAATATGAATGCATGTCTAACCTGATCGAACCTTGGTACCTTTGAAAACAGTTCATTTCCACCAAAGATATATAGTGAGATCTTATATGATCTTATCATCTTTTTACCTGCCTTCTTTGATCTTCTTTGGCAGCCCCAAGCGTCAGCCAAGAGTCGCCATCCTCAGTGGCTTCCTCTTGGAACAGCTTTTCCAGCTGATGGTCCAGCTCTTCACCCGCCAGAAGAGCTGTGGGTTTGGAGGCATCCTCCTGGGCCCAGGTAAAACCGGCGAAAAACCTGGTGCGCATAAAAACGTGGTGAAGATATTGAAACAACACGATAAATCTGGAGAAATTATGATCAATTCATATCAATTCTAATGATTCACATGAGATAAGGCAATTTGGGGATAGTTGCGCTTACATGCACAATCAGTTCTAGTGACGTCGCAGTGAGGCTGTTGAAGTTCAGTATTCATCCAGAAAAAATGATGATGAAGCATGGGTAAGACCAGTGCTGGTTTTCCATAGATTTGAATCTAATTCACAAATCGCTTGTTTTCAGTTCCTGGGTACTTCAATGTTGTCAATTGACTGATTTGTGGGACAACCCTGACTCGGAATCCAGGGCGAAAATGGTCAACTCACCATCGATGGCAGCCGCGTAAAGAGCATTGTGCCAAGGTATGGCTGGAAAGGGAGCCACTCTGGAAATTGCGGCCCAAAAAAATCATTATCCGTGGCAAAACCATCTTTTTAGTGCTTCTACTGCCTCTTTCTGGATCGTGTGACAAACACGTCCAGCAAATACGTGTTATTTCTGTGAATCCCGCGGCTTATCTTTTGACCCACAGACACTATTCAAATTACCATTCGAAACTGGCCCTCCAAAAAAAAAGGAATCCCCTTGTGATTTCGTGCCCAGTGGTCTGCAGTTTATTGATGCTTAGGGACGGACAGCCAAATATGACCATGGAACATATCCCCACGAAGAACTGAACACATGCTTAACAGGGACCTCTAGGTCAGGAAAATCAGTTTCTATTGGAAATGCTCACTTTTAGGTTTGGTGCCAAATGGTAGGTACGTGCTTCTCAAAATCTTGTCGTATCTGGAAAGTGTATATAAAACAACCAAATTTGGGCGTGAATTTCACCGTTGAACTGCCCAAGGCTTGAAAGGGGATCAAGCAAGGCCGGGAAACGACCAGAATCGGTCAGGGATCAAATACTTGGCCAACTTCCAGTGGCTGGGCTGTAAGTTCTAGAAACAGAGTTCTGGTATTATAGACATATATATACACATATTATATACATATATACCAGATACCCCGGTTGGCAAAATGTTGTCACTGTCACACCATCTGAGCTAATAGCTGGATATTCACCCCATCTGAAGCATAGCTGGAAGCATAACCCCGGCTCCTCCATGGAACCGGAGACAGCTCCCGAGTCCTGTAGCTGTGCAAGTTCAACCCTTTCCTTTGTGAATTCATTATAAATAGCTTATAAAAATACTATATGTAGATATGTGTTCAAAGGGACGTATAATTCAAAGTATCATGAAAGGGAATCATTAACAATTGATGAATATATATATATAATATAATCATAATATATATATATATATATTATATGTTCGCAAAATATAATATATATATATATTATATAAACGTTAAACACATCGTAATAATGGGGTCTCCATAGCGTCCCACTCTCTAGATATATGTTCAATTCAAGTAACTGTATATCAGTTAATTCTGGTACATCCAACATACAGCTCAAGATCAAGCAATTGGGGTTTGAACATAGGAAAATATATTTGTGCAATTGTTTGTTGATGAACCCAGTCAAGGGTCTTTCAAGTAAAACAACATACATGTTCGGCATCTTGTGGCAGCAAACTCTTGCGATTTTTCGCTGTGGTCTTGCCATCCCACCACACCCTCCAAAACGAGTTCTTACTGGTGATTCCCACCCGCTTCATGGGAATCAAACAATCCCCAATACATATGCTTTTAGAACACCGAAAAACAACAAAAGTCAACCTACAATTCCATCATCTGTTGCTTTGTTAAATGGTTGAAACATGCTGAAAGCCATGAAAAAATGGTCCTTAATCCATGAAACCCATGAAATATATGTATAGCTGTTCACCAGGGTTTTTGAAACGCCCCAACTCCTGGGCTGTGAAGACTGCGGGAAGTGCTGCTGCCATTGGAACCAGCACTGCCTACTGCTTTGGGATGGCCATTCGTGTGGTTTCCATATTCATGGGGGTACCCCAAAATGGATTCTTTATTTCATGGAAAATCAATCTACAAATGGATGATTTAGGGGTGCCCCCCGATTTCAGGAAACCTCCATATCCCATGGGTATTTGATCTGGTCATCCAATGATTTTTCTTGGGAATTCCCCCAGTTTTTTAAGGGAGATGACCATGGTCTGACCATCCCCCAATTAATTTTCAGCATCCATGCGAGATCATTGCGAGGACCGATTTTGATGTGAAGAAAATGGTGTCCTCCTAACCTCCTTTTATGGGAAAACGTGACATCACTTCATATCACGTCTATATGTTTCATATGGGGGTGTATGAAAATAGGCTACTGCCCCAAATCCAGCGGTTCATCATCATGTTCCCAGTTAAGCTGGCCAGAACTGGAAGTATACTCACCATAATTGTCAGGTCCGCACCCAGTCTCATAGTGTTGGTGAATGTTGCTTATTTATCCCATTCATTCCCATTAAATCAAATCATTGTTACGGTAAATCCCATGTTCCCCAGCCAGCTGTGCCTGCTCCACCGCATCATAGGCCTATGGGCAAAACGAAGACATTTTATGCTACCTGATGCTCCGCGTTAGTTGTAAATTTTGGCATATACCTACATAACACTTGGCATTCTTGAAAACAAGGCTAGTAAATTGGTAAACATTCTATATCCCCAAGGGATAGTATATGATGGTATCGTGTCAGCGTGGACCATCGAAACATAGTTTCGACTGTGAGTTCAACCGGCAGGATTCAAGTCACCGAGATGGGGACAAATGGAGTTGCAACTTCCCTGTGTGAAGTGGCTCCCTCCACATATAAGTTGGTTTATTAGGTTTATAATTGAGAAGCCCATTCCATTCAACAGATATATCCACCATAAATGCAGCATAGCTATCAGCAGCATCAAATGTGGTCGGCGACGATAGCTGCGCAGACCTGCTGCCGTTCATCTTCCCAAGTTTTGGCGCGTTCTTGCCCTTCATTTTCCAAACTGGAAGCTCCTCTGGCGATCCGGTGAACACGGGGTGAACACGGGGTGAACACTGTGGTGTCACCAGGGAGCGAAGTTCACACCCCCGTTGGATCCCAAGAAACAACAATTATCCAGATATAATATATATTCATGAATATTCTGTGTATATATATATATATATTCACAAGATGAGACATAATTTATCTATATATATATACTATTCATAATTATGTATATATATATACCATGATAATTCATGAACATATATGATTACATATAGTAACACATGTACATACACACTCACATATGATCATATGTATATATATATATGTATTCACACGCAGTATAGAGTCACATTTTGATAGAAAGATATTTGAAGGGTTCCTGGCTAACTAAACCTTTTAAGATATCTCTTTCGACAACCCTGCGGCCCATCAAATGTACGGTAGTGGAGCTACCGTACTTCAGCAGTGAAGCATCCCAAGAAGTCGGCTGTGTCACAGCCGGTTTCATCACAACTGGTAGCAGCTTTCATCAATTTTTGGTGTGTTTATCGTCAATTGTCACTATACTGAAAAATGAAACTATATGCATGTGTTGTATACATTTGTTATTTAGTGTATGCACCATCATTATTAATCTCCGTTATTTTTGAATTTAGCATTGTTACTGCAACGTAATAAGCGCCATAAATTCATGATAAATATATACGATTGCGACAAATGTATATAAATGTATAGTTGGAGACCCTGAGCCCCGTCCTTGAGAAGAAAACAGCGCCCCCAACTCATGGCAGCGTAATCATGCTGGAGGCTTTTTTTGGTGTGTCTATCATCAACCAGTGGTTGGCTCGTTTGGTGAACGTCCCCCAGCAACGAAAACGACCACGACGGCCGGGAACGACCGGCCGGCAACGACCGTCCTAGCACGGAGGCCAGCCAGCGCGAGACGCAGATCCATTTGGCCTGAGCCCGTAGAATCTCCTGCCATGGGGATGGAACCATGGGAGCCGGGAAGATCATGGGATTTACCATCTGGTTATGACTAACACAGCCATGGAAAATGGCCCATTTATAGATGGTTTACTTAGTTTACCTATTAAGAATGGTGGATCTTTCCATGGTTATGTTAAATAAGCAGAGGGTAGATGGATTTAGTGGGATTTTTCATACTTGATGGGATGAAGGGACATTATCCATAGTGGATTTCACATTGCCATGTTTGATTGCCAGAGTGTATGTAATCATGTGTAGAGGGGTAACTCCAAGTTGGTAACAATTGCCACCACAGTAGTTCAAAGGCATGGCCCTACCAATTTTACCTCTCTCCTTCCCGGGGAAGGAGCACATGTTTTACCATGACAATTGCGCTTCTAGACACCATGTCCACTATGAGGAGTCATGCCTGAATTTATTCATCTCGCTTTGAATGACAATTTTGAAGTCTGACAACGCAAAATTGATTGTTTCGATCGACCCTCTGTTTTCATGACTATTGCTGCAGATCAAGGTCACTAAAATGGGTTACATGGCTACTTAAGCCTTTGGAAAGGAAGCAATGTATTTGGCGGTCCAATTCTCACACCACTCACAAGCATACTTTACAGAAAACAAAAAACACATTCAATATTTATCATCCTTTTCTGGGCTCCTGCAATTCAACATGGCAATGGAGGTTATCCTGTTGGACCTCTTTGAGCCATGAAACATGCCCTTATCCCAGCCGTTTATAGTGATTACTCTACGAAATATACCGCGTTCATTGTCCCAAAGAAACCATGGGTATCAAATTATATACTAGTAACTTTAGAAGTATATCATCAGTATATTATTAAACCCTTGAAATTATGGGTTCTCATTATGCCCAATACACCACAACAACCCAGTGGATACCAGGGCTATAAAATTACCATCCATTACCATGGATAATCTGGCGACGCGGCGAAGCCATCCACCCAGATGGCGTCCTCTTGCGCAAGGACTTCGAGCATGTCATCGATCTCCTGCGCTTTGCTGTAGAGGACACCTCAAAGAATACCTGGTTGGTGGTTCCAACCCCTCTGAAAAATATTAGTCAGTTGGGATGATTCTTCCCAATATATGGAAAAATGTTCCAAACCACCAACCAGAATAGGTTCACTTCTACCATGTTTTTGCCTGAAAGGGGCCGTGACTCAATGGTTCTGGGCGTTTGTGTACTTTTTATTCCATTGTCTTGCTTTAGTTTCTATCCGTCTATTTTTGTTCTATCTTTTTCTGATTGCTTCATGTTGGGTTGGGTTGGGTGGGGTGGATTGGTGCAATAACGTCCTTGCACTTGCACACCCACTTGCTGTTACGTCACACACTTTTCTTCTTGCTATGTCATAAGAACTTCTCTAGTACTTCCACATCTTCTGCACGCTACGCTAAATACTTTTCTTGTTGCTATGTTCTCAGAAGTTCTCTAGCACTTCCATATCTTCTGCGCGCTACGCTAAATAATAAATTTCTTGTCATTTTTGATGCTACGTCACAAAAACATCTTTAGAGTTGATGCTATGTAATGATAGCTTTTCTTGTGCTTCCAATACCACTTCAAATTACTTTACATATATCTATATACAAAAAACGTGCATTTACAGTAACGTGCCACAAATGCACCAGAAAGACGTGAAACAAGTGTGCGAAGTGTTGGAAGGGTTGTCCAAGAAACACTTCCTGACCAAATCCTTGCAGAGGTTTTGCATGTTTTTTCTAATATCGATTTCAAATGAAATCCTTCAAAACCACCATTTTTTGGTGATTCACAAAATAACCATGAATCCGAAACATTTACAAACGCACGGCCCCTTAGAGGCGCCGGCACCATGTTTTTGTTGGAATTCTATCGAGCATTGATGTGGGCAAACGTGCGAAAATTCGCACCTAAAGTGACATTTCTGAGCAAAAACTCGGTCAAAGTTGTCCCCTAAAGGGGGCTGCATCCTGCCACGATAATTACGCAAGTGGATCAACCCCTTGAAACCGGTGCCAGCCACTGTTATTGGAGTGAACTAAATCAACTTAGCTAACATCATAAATCCGGAGACCCGGGAACATAGATGCCGAAGCCATGGCCTATGAAAATGGATGAATTACCTGTTAAGCATGGTGAGGTTTCACATCTGAATGTGTCCCCTAGGGTAAATAATAACCATGTTTCAATGATTTTAGAAATTCATATAAATTTATAGAAATCCACAGAAATCCATATTATCAATCCATATATATATATATACCCATATATTAGCTTTAAAAAGGCATATAATTCATTATAAATCGCCATGCTTACGGGTAAACATCACTGTTTCACTCCTCTTCATCCAACTCTTCCAGCATCACATCCATGCCTGCGACCGGGCGAATTGAACAGGACATCCACAAACGCATACATACTTATGTATAATATATATATATATATCATATCATATATATATAAATAATGTATAACATATAAATACATAATGTAATAATATAATAATATAAAAAATAAAAAATAAAATAAAAATACATAATCTAATAATGATAAATATATTTCTATAAATATATAAATACATAATATAATATATATAATATAATATAATACAATATATAAACACATAAAAATATAATATAATAAAATAAAGTATAATATAGTATAAAATAATAAAATATCATATCATATAACACAATGTAATATAGTATAATATAAAACATATAATATAATATATTATATTATAATATACAGTAATAAAATAAATGCATAATATAATATAATACAATATAATATAATATAATATAATATAATAATATAATATAATATAGTAATTCAAATATAGTAATTCAAAATAATATAATATAATATAATTTAATATAATATAATATAATATAATAATATAATATAGTAATTCGAAATAAAATAATATAATATAATATAGGGTATAGCTAGCCCAGCTTTGCAACCCAACGGCGAAAGGTTCCAGCAAGGTTCCAGGACTGTTCCGGTTTTTCGGGGCGTGCATTTTTGTGTCACCAGTCCCCGGCCCCAGAGATTGAAACCCAACAGATTCGCTGTTGGGAATTACTGTATAAATTGTTCTGAAACATAGTTCGATTCCAAATGGGAATCGTTCTAAATTGCTCAGTCCTACGTGTTTTTCTGTCCGAAAGAGAGGGTTTCTCCAAAAGTTGTGTATGTACCCCAAAAATCCGTTCAAGTCCAAAGGTTTTGGTTGTTATTTCCCGTTTTAAGACACGCCCAAACATGGTTTATATTGGGTGAATCACCTTAAATCATGCCAACATGTTGCAAACCATTCTCCAAAGATTCTGTGATTTACTATCCCACAAATGGGTCATTGTTAGCATAATGCATATGAACATTCTTAATCAATGTTCTGAAAATCACTTCGAGCACCCTCAAATCAGTCATAGTATCAGTGGATCAGGAGGCCATGATGGCTTGTGAATCAGGAGGATGTATCGATCATTACCCACATCCTTCATGGAATGTATTTACCGAGTGCATCCTGAAAATGGATGTTGGCGACTAAACCCTCCATTGACTGACCCATTTACGCGGCGATTTTACCGTGATTTGTTGGTCCTCATATTATAATTTATTCATTTTGAAGGATCCGAATTCGTGTAAATTACCACACCATCTCTTTGCTTCTAATCATCACCAACCAAAAATGTGGTCAAACTTTGGAGTATCCACCCATGTGTATATAGTATAAGTTATACAAGTTATATTCATATCATGCTTCCCAAACACATATCATGATTTCTAGTGATCACAGCCAGTGAGGTCTGAAATGGCCCTGCCTACACCGGCACCCGTTGCTGAAGGAGTCAGGTTACCTCAGCGACCCTCCAAGTGCGAAAAATGGAGCAATCTGTGGCAGTATACTGATGATTTTGTTACCGGATCCGTTCTCATCGGTACTTGAGGGGTCTAAGTCATCTAAGTCTCCCAAGATGGAAGAGATGGTGACATTCTTTACACTGATACTGTCCTTTCTAAACTTTTCTAGGCAGCTCCAGGATATTATGGGGAGACCACCCATGAAAATTGGAGGATGAACCAAACTCTGGTCGCAAGATCACTACTCTGTTGACTCTCTTGTGCTAATGTCGGTTTAAGCAACTACGGTCCAATATTTGTTCAACAATGGTGATATCCGACGGTAGACAAACATGGATAGCTGGGAAATGCATCTTTTAAAAATAGGTAAACCATTGCACAGATTATCAAGCATAAACATCGATAAACATCCCTAAAACATCCCTAGTGAAAAGTTGGTTTAACCAACTTTTTAGGCATGTTTTGCAGGTTCCTGGGGCACCACACTGGAGCTTTGCTTTGGAACAACCATGGCTTGGAAGCGCACGCCTTCTAGGTGGATAGCGAGAAGGCCATAGATGCGGAAAAAAAAGGTGGGAATAGCAAGGATGAATATGTATATATATATTATATGATTATATATAATATTGAACGTATCTTTCGAAAAGAGGTTTCACAAATGAAGCGTACTAGTCCAAACAGTGTTGTACTGTTGCAGCGCACAGCATGAGTGTCTCTGCAAGTCGGAGAAATGAGATCAAGAGGTGGACCAGGAGCACATGAACATCATGATGATGCTGATGTTGATGCTGATGCTGATGATAATGGTGATCATTATTATAAATTGGTATTATCATCATGATCATTATCATTATACGATCATCATTATACTATTATTAAAACGAGTTTTATGATGATTATAATGATGATGACTATTATATCATTACTATTTGATATTACTATTTTATATTGCTATATTATCATTATTATTATCATTGTATATTATAATGATGATCCCCCAGCGGTATCTCTTTTCTTTCGGAAGATACACCCACCACTTGGCGCCGACGCCTTGAACTTCTTTCTCTTGAACCACCTGCAGTCAGCGCGGTTGACACTAGGGCCATCCTGTCCCGAATGATTCAACCTGGCTAGCTGATGAAAACCCATGTTCAATAGGTAAAACAATTGATCAAAATGAAGATTTTCCAGCCAGCCATCTGGATTTCTTATGATTTCTTTAACTCCTGGAGGGTAATTACTCTAGAAGTAAAAACTCCTGTCCCAAATCCTCCTGTTTGGTTGTTTCAACCCAGAAACACAGTTTTATTGTCAATTGAAGTCATTTGAGGGCCACCATCCGATTGAAACCACCAGGCAAGTATAGCGTAAAACAATGTAATGCATATATTCATACTGATAATATATGTTATATAATATGGTATGCTCCCGAAATACGAGTATTACCAACTGAATTTTTGATCATCTCACCACCATGAATGGTTTTAAGATGTTTGACAGCTAACGCCATTGGTGAACCCACCATCCCACTCAGCATCAACTGTGCCGCCTTCAAACCAGCCTGTTCAATGATTGCTGTCGTGTTCATTTTGCTCTTGCTGGACTTTGCAGCCTGAAATTCTCCAGACTAGTGTCTTCTGATTGGGATCAACAGTCAAAACCATTCCACGCAACATACCGGGAAACGCAAGACCCAAAAGTTGCACCGGAAAGCAATGGTTCATAAACAAATGCACTAAAGATTCAAAACATGCCCACATGTTCCATGATTCCATAGAAAGTGTATCAACATGTGTTCATCTAGATTGATTGGGTTGACATATTGTGGTGCTTCGTTACAGGGATGGAATTTTTCCATAACAAAGGGGCCGCAGGCGCCAAGACGATGTGGGGAATATACCCTTTGGATTATCGAAAGTTGCAAGGGGAAAATCATGGAAAATCACCATGTTTGATAAGCAAACCACCCTAAATCATCTAATGGGTCATTTTTCAGGGCCCTGTTCAATAACGAAATGGCAATATTTAAGGATTCCACCAACAAAGGTAATGCGGAAAAAAAATGCCGTTCACCTCCAATTTCGGATGGTTGATATAACCCATCTTCTGCTTGCGAATTGAAGCTCCAGCTATTGCACTCCTACACTCCTCAACCATATTATTTTTGATCCCCGGAACTTTGTTGGCGGAATCAACAACCAGATCAGCCAGGAAGGTTGCGAATCTGCGGTGACTTATTCCTCGAGTTTCGCCCAAGGTACAGCGGCTTTCCTCTCTCGTTCCTTTTTCGCGCGATCAGCCTGGCAATTCGTTTGCGAAAATAAAAAAACCACATAGGGCATTTTGGTTGACCCATTGTAGTCTTTAAAAACCATACGCCCGCTACATTGGGATGTGGTTTTCAATACCTCCCAAGTGGTGAAACCACTGTTTAAGAACCTACTGCAATAAGAACTTCAGGGGCTGGATTGCTGGATTCAACCCTTTCTGTCAGCTAATTGAAATAGGTGCCCTGGAATTCTAGCCGCTGCTTCTTATTCACCTTTAACGGGTATCCATATACCAAACATTGATTATTAGCAGCTATTTCCCCAAAGAAAGATTATGTACCGCGGAACTCCCATGCCGAGGACAAACATGATGCGGCCCCAGGAAGATTCCAACCCTTGCATGGTCACCAAGGCTGATGTCCACAGCTTCAGCTAGACACCAGCCAGACTCACTGTAGGTCACCTGACCTCGGAGGCTGCCCTTGGCTTGATTTGCTTGTGCTGCCCTGTTTCGGGCGCCCAAACCCTGAAAAAACTTTTCGGAGCCTAAAAAGTTTTTTTCTTCCCCCCGCCTCCTTTGCAACCTAATCAATACCACGCCAAAATGACTTGGCAAAACCCTCACCATATGAACCCCTTAAGAACGAACCCATGAAGAACTTGAGGGTACCCTCGTTCATAATTCCCATATTTTCCACCTATAGCACTTAAGAACCCCAGGGTAGGCTGGAAAATTCTTAATCGGTTCTTATCTAACGCTTCCGCTGTACCCCAAACTAGATGGTGTATAATGGAGAGTCCCATTAAAATGGAAGATCTGCGGATATCCCTCTTTTAGGACACCCCCATATATCATTGCACATTCTTACACCTTACACCCATAGGCGTCACGGACCTTGCTCAACTTGGTCTCCGCAGGTTTGCTGGCGCAAAATCTCAGTAGCTCCTCGATGCTAATGGATCCCGAGTGGTTCACATCCTTGGTGGAGAGAGTATACTGGATACATCCGGATACCGGAGAATAATCATGATATAAAATACTTTACTTCGAGTCATCCCCACCATGACATTTATACGTTTTGTTACTGGCAAATCTTCTGGCATTCTATCTGACATATCTTCTGGCATTCGATCTGGCATTCTATCTGGCATATCTTCTGGCATTCTACCTGGCATATATTCTGGCATTCTATCTGACATATCTTCTGGCATATCTTCTGACATCCTATCTGGCATATCTTCTGGCATTCTATCTGGCATTCTATCTGGCAAACATTCTGGCACTTTATCTGGCATACCTTCTGGCATTCTATCTGGCATACCTTCTGGCATTCTATCTGACATATCTTCTTGCATTTTATCTGGCATATCTTCTGGCATTCTACCTGGCATATCTTCTGGCATATGTTCTGGCATATCTTCTGGCATATCTTCTGGCATTCTATCTGGCATATCTTCTAGCATATTATCTGGCAAATCTTCTGGCATTCTATCTGGCAAACATTCTGGCACTTTATCCGGCATATCTTCTGGCATTCTATCTGACATTTTATCTGGCATATCTTCTGGCATTCTATCTGACATATCTTCTGGCATTCTATCTGGCATTCTATCTGGCATATCTTCTGGCATTCTATCTGGCATTCTATCTGGCCGTTGAGGTCCAGCGGTGCGCACTGGGCTCGGAAGGTCCCAGGTTGAGGTCCAGCGGTGCGCACTGAGCTGGGCAGGTCACAGGTTGAGGTCCAGCGGTGCGCACTGAGCTGGGAAGGTCCCAGGTTGAGGTCCAGCGGTGCGCACTGAGCCAGGTAGGTCCCAGGTTGAGGTCCAGCGGTGCGCACTGAGCTGGGAAGGTCCCAGGTTGAGGTCCAGCAGTGCGCACTGAGCTCCGAAGTTGGCGAAGAGCTTGGCCAAGAGTTGGCAAGGCAACAGTGGACGTGGAAGTGGAGGCAGAGGTGGTAGAAGAGGAGGAGGACGCGGAGGAGGAGAAGGAGGAGGAAGGAGGAGGAGAAGAACAACTCTGATAAAATCTAACAACCCTCACCTGGCAGGTGGGGAACAAGAACAATGGTTGGTGGTTTCAGCCCCTCTGAAAAATATTAGGCAGTTGGGATTATTATTTCCAATATATGGAAAGTCATAAAACATGTTCCAAAACAACAACCAGAAGAACAATGGCTGGTAAGAATCCACTCAATTTAGACAAACGCCAATCAGTTGCCGCTTGTCCCAGTTGTGCAATTCGCGTTTGCATGGTTCATGGTTAGTCACAGCTACCGAGAGTTTTGCCTACATGTTTAAAATCATTACAATTCAATAGATTCAATATGATTCAATAGATTACAATAGTCACTATCGTCCCTGGTCTTCGGCCGCTGCTTCCGTTGCTCAAATTTGGAACATAAACACATTTGGTCATTGGTATGCCAAGGTTGCCAAGGACTAAGCAAGTTGCTACTCAAATTTGCCTATTTCCAGTAAATTCCCAATGTTTGCAGGCTCATATCCCATTGTCATGGGAATAGGTAAAAACATGTCAAACCATGTCAAAACCCTGGAAATTACATCGCCATGGCCCTTGTTGGATTCATCTCTTTTGGTGGTTCCATGGCAGCCTCCACCCACAATTTCCCATCATTTTCATAGAGGTCGTACTTTCGGGCGCCTAGTTCCCTCCAGTTTTGTTTGATGGTTTGAATTACCCAATCTAGTTATAGAATGCCTTATACATTATTATTATTACTACTGTCATTATTATTACTATGAAGACTTCTTGAAATATTGTTATTAGGATTATCATTACTATTCTTGCTAGTATTGATATTACTGCTAGTATGTTGTTACTATGGCTACTATTATTATTAGAAACATATATATATATATATGTCAACCAAATTTCCAACGACTAGCCTATAGTCCTAGAGTTATTTCCACCAATTAATTATATATATATATATATCCACATATATCCAGGTATACCTCAACTACATCCGCCGCTGTATCCCCAAACTTGGTTGGTTGTCTCAATCGTTGTGGGCTAATTTCCCCATATCTTTGAGGACCCAGGTAAAACCTTACCACAATCACCAATTCTGATATACTCACTATATCTCCCATGTTAGATGTTAAAATCCCGTGTTTCTTGTTTAAATACCTATCATGTCATGGTGAAATCTCATCTTTGGTTTATAACACTCATTTATAGCCCCATTTACATACGATATATCCGCCATAATCCAATCATTAGCCTAGTCATTTCAAACAACTGATCTATATCATGCCCGGGGTGCCCTGTACTATATAGAAATATTCCCTATGGATTTCCCAGTTCTGATGGATTTCCAGGAAAATCAACACACAGGTACCACAGGGAATCCTTGGGGAATCTTTAAGACACTTCACCAAGGTACCACAGGGAATCCATATGAAATCCAAAAGCACTTCTGATGTCTTTAGAAAATCAAGACGCAGCATCTTCAAAAAAGTCCCATGTCAACCAAGGGACAACAGCCAAGAAGATCTCCCGCTCATCGAGCCCGCAAATCACGCCCAGATCAAGGCCCGAAAGGCACATGGCCATCCTCGAATGGCATGGGGGATTTGATGAGCTATTAAAATAACAAAATCCTTGAGATTTAATGGAAACTGATGGGTATCATGGATATGTATCTAAAAATATATGTATTAAATATGTGTATATATATATATATATATATATTAGTATATATATATATATACTATATACTAATATATATATATACTCATATATAAATATATTTGTACATATGTGTATATATATATATACACTATATATACTAATATATATATATACACTAATATATATATATATATACACTAATATATATATATATACTAATATATATATATACTAATATATATATATATATATTAATATTTATATATACTAATATATATATACTAATATATATATATATATATACTAATGTATATATATATACTAATCTATATATATACTAATATTTATATATAAATATACTAATATATATATATATACTAATATATATATATATACTAATATATATATATATATACACTAATATATATATATATATATACTATATATATATATACTAATATATTTGTACTTATGTATATATATGTATATAAATACTAATATAAATATATACTAATATACTAATATATATATATATATACTAATATATATATACATATATATATACGAATATGTATATATATACGAATATAATATAGATCTATATATATATATACATAATATATATATATATATACATATGAAACTGGATGTGTCTACTCAAAAATGGGCTACAGTCTACCTGGTAGGACACCCGTGACAAAGCCTTTTAAACCCATCTGCTGACTGTCCAGCCATGGCTGGAGATTTGAACTCTTCATGGCTGGAGGTTTCCATAAATGGGGGATCCCCAAAATGTTGGTTCAAAGTGGAAAATCCTATTAAAAAGGATGATTTGGGAGTACCCCCCTCCATTTTTGAACATAAAACTGGTGATCACCTTTGAGAAAGATTTCATCTTCTCCCCGACATGGATCATCATGGATCCATGGATCATTTCCGTCGGAAAGCTCTGGGTTTTTCATAGAATTCTTGAGGCTTTCCTAGAGGGTAAGTTCCAAACACATACACAAGTGCAAAAGAGTGCTTCGGTGGATTTTCTTGGGTAATTTTCCAACCGTCCAATTCTCAGGTCAACAATATCGCAGTTTGAGGATGGTTGGATACCAAAGATGGGATTTTAAAAATCCAATTAAATACCCATCAAGACACTCGCCAATTGCCACTGAGGACAGGGCGAGAATTCGGTTGTGCTCAATAACCCATTCTTGTTCACATCCAAGACCTTCTGCACCTGTTTGGCCCGGTGCCGAACTCCGGGAAACGAATGGTGTATATCAAAAAAGCAATGACATGGTGATGATGACTACAGTAAGAATGCTTACGATTATGATTATTGAATCGGTTATGTACATATATATATATAATTATATATATATAATTATATATATGTATATATACATATGTGTATATATATATATATGGTGTCATGGTTGATAGAGATAGATGGATGAAACTATCCATAACCACAATGGGTTTCTCAAGGCACTGACCCCAAGTTATCATCCAAATTATTGAACATCCCCTGCAAATTAAATGGAAGTTTCTCGCTGGAAAAAAAATCATTGAATTGGGGAATTTCCCATTGCCATGTTTGATTACCGGAGGGTATCCCGTTTTTGAGAAAGAACCATACATATATATATATATACATATATATATATATATTTTTGGATTTGCTTCAAGGGGCAAACACAAAATAAAATGAAACACGTTCCCGTAGCTTCCCCCGAGGGCAAATCCACCAACAAAGAAAATAAAGGATTCAAAAGGACAATCTTCAGCAATTCCCGGTATTTTTACAGGAAAAAAAGTCTATACCAGTTTGTTTCACTAAGTTTTCATATGTTTTCATCATTTATGTAGTGGTTAGTGGTTGTTCACTTCTGAAGTTCAATTTGTACCTACCAACCAAACAGGTGAACAACGGATATCCGTGGCCAAAACTGGATTTGCTGTTGCTCAAACGAAAGCCTTTCCTGGTGGGGTCCCACTAGCTTGAAAAACCTCGGGTTTGTTATCTGAAAGTGGTGGATACGTCAAAATGGCTCCCTGATAAAGCATATGAGACCATCCACTATTTTCAATTAGTTTCCACAAATGTTGGATGACGACGTCACAAGAATCGCGCGCCTCTTCCAAACCTCCAAACAGGAAAGTGAAGGACTTGCACAAAGCATCAAAGCCTTGATTGCAGCCTTGCTCCTCCTGAGCTTCGGCAGAGGATGGTAGAATTGGAACACGGGATCAGTAGCAACTACTACAGTAAAAAAAACGCTGATATTTCTGACTTCACAGCAGAACTTCAGAATCCGGATGCAAAAACGGAGCCATTCCCTGGAAAAACCAAGCCATCGAGTCTGCCAAGATGCCAAACAGTCGTAGAGGTCAGACACCACCTGGGGAGATTCGTCCAGTGACATCCCAGGTCGGTTACTGAATGGTTAGCGATGGGCAAAAGGTATGCCATTGCCATCCATTGCCATAGTCGAACTTGGCAATGGAAAATCAATGAGCATCGATATTCCCAGCTAGAAGCCTTCATTTAGTTCGGGCTTCCCTATTCCACTATTCCATATTATTCCCAGGTTTGATTCCCATGAGGTATCCGAGTTTCCATTGTCCCTATATCAGCAAACATATCGAAAAATTGCCACTTTTGGTTGATTCCCCTCCGGTAATCAAACATGGCAATTGAACATCCTCCATCTATAGTTCAATGCTTTTCCAATCGACACCTCCATATGCTTCGGGGATCTCCCAGCCACGTTTGATTGCCATATTGGTACTTCCAGTCCCTCCCAATTCTCCCCAGTAAAAGAGGCCCTCGTGACCAAGTCACCACTATCTACAAGAAGGGCCCCGAACGATTGGTAAGCTGGTGTATAATTCGGCCAATGTTTGAACATGTGCATATATTTATGCTAGATATATCCATCCAGGTGGGTGACACTCAACCAATCTCAGAAATGAGGGGAAACAAGTAATTACAGGAAAACGCTATTGTAATATATATATATATGCATTTGTCTGAAATAGGGTATCCTTCGACTGGTTAATCATCATGTTCCCTATGAAATTGCCATAAGTACAGGGTGTACCCCACTGTCAGACATACCTACAGTTTCACATCGTTGATTACATAGCCCATTAAAACCCATTTTATGAAATTAAATCCAATTGAATCCCAATAGATCCCATTAGATCCCATTTAAACCCCCATTAGTTTCCCATTAAACCCCATTAAATCCCTATGAATGTCCCATGAAATCCCATTGAAATCCGCAGATAAATCCATGGCTTTCCAGTACAACAAATGGCATGAACAATCCATCCAAAACCCGGGGCTTCCCAGCCTTAAGAGACGCCCTTTGTCCAGGGCGGCAAGTGCCAATCCTCTCCAGCTCCTCACACTGTGTGTCCATAATATGCATTGTATTTGTGTATATATATATATATTATTTATATATATAGTGCATATATAGATATAGTTATACACTATATACATATAGCAAACAAAATGCAAAACCTTCGTCCCAAATCGCGAATCCTCCAGAAAGTCCATGGCCATGACCTGCCAAAAACGTTTTGTCGCGAGAACTCAGCGGAGTTCTTGTGCTGAAAGGGTACACTCATTGTACATCTAGCCTAGCAATCAAAAAACACGTCCCTGCTGATTTTCCAACATGTTCCCATGGTGATTGCCAGGTTAGACCCAAATCTATGGGTGGCTCCAAGTTTCTGGTTCAAACTGCACGTTCCGACTGCCATAAGTTGGGTGGCAAGTCCCCATTCTCAGATATATCATAGCTGTTAATGAACGATCTTTCCTTAATCAAGAATTAAATGTATCTCCAAGAATTATATCCCCAGGGTATCCCACAATATCCCCATCATAAAGAACTGACGACCTTTCATATAGATCTTGGTTCCTTTTGGATGATATTACAGGGTTGAGTAGGGCTCCTATATGGCTCTGGGTCAAAGTAGGTATGCTCAAATCAACTCCGTTCCCAGATGGAAATCCTGACCGAACCGAAGAGAGAAGCAACTCTGGGAATGGCTCAGGCAGCGACTTGTCACTTCAATAACCAGACTTTGACCGGTATATAAATCTATAAAATGTAGACACAGGAGCACTTTCCAAGGCAACATTTTTCTACAGCTGTACTTTTGTTAGACAATGCAGCTCTTGTACTCAGTACAAATCAGGGCCTAACAGTTCAGCAACCAAGTGATGACAGATTCAACGGACTAACCACCTTGAGCCTCCAAATTAACATGTGCAGGAAAAAAACAGAAAAACATAGTACTCATCATATGAGCCATGACTAAAATATTGCTACTTGGATTGTTTGCTACGACATCTTGAAAATTGATGAAATGCAAGGAAGTTTCCAATGCAATTGTGGGTACCCCCTTGCATTATCATCCAAGTCATGACCATGGCTTAGTATTGAAACCGATCAAATGACTTGGGGGATCATGACTTAAGAAACCTATGATCCCATTCCCTGCATCATCCCATTCATCACCATTAATCACTATAATTCACAATATTTTTTAGTTAAGAACAATCGCATTAATCACGATCAATCACCACTATCATTTCTGTAGTCACTAAAGATCTGTGAATCACACATCACCAATCACACATCACAAATACAAATCACTCTTAGTTCACTATAAAATCACTATCATATAATTATTATATAATCACTAATCACTCTTAAACACTAGTAGTAATGAGTCACCAATCTAATCTGGTTGGTGGTGCAATGTGCCCATCTTGAAAAATATGAGGAGTTCGTCAATGGGAAGGATGACATCCCACTAATCCATTTCCCGGCGCCAGGCCTTCATCTGATTCCACCTGGGAGGTGTCACTTCCTTCAGCGAGTGGATTTCCCCATCGGCCACCGCCTGGGCGTATTTTCCGGGGATGTTCAACGGATCCTGGGACATCATACGGAAATTCATAAGGAATTCGGAAAACATAGGGGAATCAAAAGAAAATCCTGGGAAAGTCCGGAAATCCGAGGGAATTCCTGAGGAAATCCTGGGGAAATGGATGTTATACTACAGGTCACAAGACCCAGTCGCATATTGACTAAACAACATTGAGGAGATTACTGCGACCAATACTTTGGGGATATCAACAAATCACGACTTCAGGACTTAAACAAAACCACAGGAAGTTAACCACAAAGAAACGTGGGGTAAATTGGTTATTATAGAGGGGAAGTGACCCATGTGACCCATGTCCACTGTTTGTGGCTATCGCCAACTGGAGCAACCCTGACTGGGGATGATATCAGCCCCACTAGGGGATTTGACCCACCGATTGACAATGACCATGCAACAGGAAACGACTTATTTGAGGTACCTACCATTTTTATAAGGCCTATGAAAGGGCTATGCAAGGGAACATCCTTGCAAATCGCAAAATATAGTTTGTTAATCATCTATACTCATGAATCTCATCGAAATCAACATTTAAAGAACAGGATCTTAATAAACACATTCCTTTTTGCACAATGTTCCTCAAAATGAGTTTACTATAATTTACCCACATATAATCTTTTAAAACCAGATTGATGTACAGATGTACAATTTCTAGATTGATAATTCCCGTATAAATCAACTTCATATCCGATCTTTTTCGCCCAAATCAATATCAACTGGCGAAATCCATCCTCTAGAGTTATAGCCCTTAACAAACATAACTGGACTCTAATCCAATTGAAGTATATTCAAGTCATTTAAGTGATGTATTTCTCCTTAGTTTGAGATATAATCCCATATTAATAACTTTCAAGGGCAACTCCATCCCTGGATCTCGACAACTCCACCGGCCTTCACCATCAGGGGAAGATCCAAGCGGAAGAGAAGTTGCACATCTGCTTCCTGCACTGCCGCACCGTCGGTTGCGCCAATGTTGGGACCAGGAATCGAAGGATTTAGTAAGCCATCCATGTTTGAAGGTTTTATGGTACAAACAAATATTCAACAAAAAGCACGTAGACAAGCACTCTACATCAATCTACCAAGTGTTGTTCGCTTGCTAAAAAAAACATGGTGGCCCATTTCCGCTGCTTCAGCGCAGACTCTGTTTTGGCTCCTCCAGCGCTGCTTCAAGTGTATTGGCCCACTGTGATCGCGGACTCTGGTTGCGAGCCATAGCTCCCTGGCACGGAATGGACATCTAACACATATGGGGTTTCTTCAAATGGCGGATCCCCCAAAACCATAGGTTTGAATACTAAAATGATAAATGGTATTTATTTTGATGATTTGGGGGTAGCCTTTTTGGCAAACCTTTGGTGTCATGTGGGCAAACCAATAATAAACCTACCATTTACGGTGGATTTTGGGGTTAGTTTATTGTTGGGTTTACCACATTACACATACCCTCTGGTAATCAAACGTGGCTGGGAAAATCATCGTGGCAGATTTGCCAGCCACGTTATCGTAGGCTCATTTTGGTCCATAGGCCAGTGAAAATCCTGGTTTAATATGGTTTAATGATGGGATGATTTGCTGGGATAATGGTGGGATAATACTGGGATATTGATGGATATACCCTCTGGTAAACGTTTACAGTTTGCTATTGAAAATTGCCACAACAGATCACCATGTTTTATGGGTAAATCAACAATTTCTATGGCCATTTTTCATAGCAAACTGTAGACGTTTACCATAGGGTAATTTCCAGGACTGAGTATGGATCTCCGGATCCGTCCAAATCAACCACAATCTATGGCTCTCAACAGTTGCTACAGTAATGGGACTATAACTCATGTAACTAAGGTTAAATATTCACAGTATACATTATATCACTTATGCATGAGTTTTCCTGCAAGCAAATTCCAAGTGGCTTTTACTATGTATGCTCTTTTTCCGCCGGCATGGTCAGCCATATGGCCACCTGAAAGCTGCCACGCTTATCGAGGCCAAAGTCCATTTCACCAGTACTTTGGCCAAAGGGAGAAGCGCCTGGAGATCAGCGAAGGTCTGAGATGTGCAGGGCTAAAGATCGGAAAGATCACAAGGGATAGCACACATGCTTGGGTATGGTATAGATAAGATAGGATATATATATATATATACAGATAAGTTTCACATTTTTTGAGGAAAAAATGCGTGAGTGTTTTACGGACCACACCCTAGCTCATCCCCTTAACTGCAGGGGTGGGGTAGTGGCCCGCCTGTCCGCCTAGTGTTTGCAGCCAGGTATTGAACCGATGCATCTTATCCACTAGACCATACCGGCCCTCAATTCATACCAGATACCCCAATTCATGGCCACGTTAGACACGAAATCCTCATGCAAGGTGCCCAATTGGAAGTTGGCTTATATACCCCCCCCATCAACTATGACACACCTGGAATAAACAAACATAGTCAAGAACCAAAACAGTATGATTATAAATAGTCAACTAGTTGTGGAGAGGATAAACGATAATACAACCCCCATTAACTAGTTATATCCATAATATAACCCCAATTAACTAGTTAGATCCATAATATACTATAAGATAAACCATAATATAACCATAGTTATTGGAGTTATAGCCTCGCGAGTTGGACCTGGGGGTTGCTTGAAACCTCCATGGGATGCAGCCAGCCCACGTTGACCAGGAGGCTTTCTATTGTGAGTCCAGTAGTACAGGTGATATCAGATATATTGATATATGATATATAGATATATTGATTACTAGGAGGGTACCCTCTGGTAAACGTTTACATAAACTGTGGAACGATCCACCATGTTTAATGGGTAAATCAACAATTTCTATGGTTTTTTCCAATAGCTATGTTGAATTACCAGGAGGGTGTATTGAAGCATATTATTGTAATCTACTTGATGTGCATCCATATCAGCAAGTACAGGTGATTGGCGCCAGTCACAAATAGCTTACTTGCATCAAAAGCAGATCCCCAGCTGGGAATTTCTCCACGTAGACATGACTTGCACAATTTTAAGCAACATTTTTTGGATCATCCAACGACTCGACTCGTAAGTGATTAATATGTTTTGATTCCAACATGTTATGACCCAATTATATATATATATATATATATGGAATAACCCAGTTGAGGGGCTTATGATGACCAGGGCTATCAGCTACTTACAATGAGCAAGGTACTCCTTCAAGTGGTTTGATATAAACAGCCTCGCACTTCATCGACATTTGGGGGCGTCTTACTTCACCATTTCCCAGTTTTCGTTGTGATCTCAAAATAATGGAGCAATTAAAAAGGTCAGGTGGAATAGGTTTCTTTACAACTTTTTGGGTGAATGATAATGAATAGTTGTCACGCTCTAGGAACTGACATGGCTATGCAAACCCTTTATTGTCAGGAAAAGGATCTACAAATTGTTCTCAAATCCAATGGATTATCATCATCGCCATTGTACAAAGTTTAATGCATATATATAATATATATATACATACATATATATATAGCTATGCAAATGTAAATATAGTTAAATGTACATAGTTATATAGCATAGATATACATATGTATGCATCTACAATATGTATAGTTATATATATATATAGTTGTATAGTTATATAGTGTTGTATAGCTGCATAACAATATATCTAATAAATTATAATTATATATATAGAGTTGTAGAGCTACTATACATATATATATATACATATGTATAGATATATCCCTGATATATCTCCCTTGCTTCATACCCCAACAGCCACCTCCTGACATCGACTGATCCTTGCTTCCCTGCAAGGTGTCCACCTCCAGCTCGCCGTCCTCTCCTAACGGAAAACAACAAGGTCATGGGGCTGTAAACCTTGGATATACATGGATATACCATATGTTTTTATATGTTTTCAAATGTTATCTGGTGAATTTTCATGTCAATGACTATTTGGATCGAACTTTTTCGATGTTCAATGTCATGATTTTTGTGTTTGGATGGAGAATCCATTATGGATAAAATCGGGGAGTTTCCAATGCCAGATGTAGCTGTGGTGTCCCCAGAACGCCATATTGATAGTCACTTAGTCCTCGCTTGGGGAAACGTGGAAGACGGGCAATAGACATCCACATTGACATCTGGAGTCATGAAGTAGTGGTTTTACATTCCCCTCATTTTCAAATGAATTGCCCATAAAAAATGGTGATTTCAATGGCTGTGTTACATTACTAGACGCGTGCAATATCAAAAACAAAAAGTGCCGAAGCAATCAAAAGTGAGTTGCAATGGACGGTGCATCCTTGAAACGATTGGAAACCTGTTCTAGTTCCAATTCCCGCAAACATGCACCCAACAACGGAACAATCTGAGCCCCCATGTCTATTCATTATAAATCATTCTACATTTTACTTGTACTGGCAAATCATATATATATATATATAAA